GCACCACTCGGCCGGCCCATGAGAGTGTCTCTCCTTTGACTTACCCACCGGAATGAATCTGAAAAGCAGCCTGCTGGCACCCATCCTTTTCTCTGCAGAGTGGTGATGGTCCGTTGCCCGCGTGTGCCGTCACGTCTCTCCTCCATTTTAGACCCTGGCCGGCTCCTGCGGGAAGTTTGCCCCATTTGAAATTAAAGAGAACATGGTCCTCGCCCCTCGTTACCGGACCACTTTCGACCAAGATCTCTGTGATCAGTTAGACCAGCTTCTGCAGCAACAGAGCGGCGACTTCTCCTTCCTGAAAGATCTGAAAGGCCGGCAGCCCCTCAGGTCCGGACCCACTATGGTTTCTAATTGCAACACGGACATTTGTAACAGGTTAGTGCCTGGGGACACTGTCCTTTGCCAGTTGGGGAAGTGAGCACAGTTGGCCGAGCTCTGGGTTCTGGTCCACTGCTGACTCCCTGTGGCCTTGGACCAGTCGTCTGCCTCCCAGGTTTCAGGCCCTGGCTTCAGTGCTTTGTTCAAAGTCTATTTTCTGGCTTCTGCGAGCCTCCAAAATCTCTCGGGTGGGCTTTGGGAGCACAGACTGCCTGTCCCAGTGTCCGGTCTCCTGGGAGGGGTCCGTGTCCATCCAGCCTCCGTGGAGAGGCACTTCCTGTTCTTGCTGGTGCTTATTCTTCTCGACCCTGGTTACAGACATGCCATGGGGCAACCACACGGTGGCAATCTTGTGTCTCCCGCCTCCTTGCTTTGTGTCCCTGCAAGTAAGTGTTCCTTAGCCTTCAGGAGTAGGTGGTACCGCTGCTGAATGGTTACCTGCCTTTGTAGCATGTTGGTGGCCTGCATCCTGGGAAGGCTGCGTGGTGAGTGAACATGTCGCGGGGCAGGCGTATTACTGAGCGTGGTATCTTATTCTCAGTGACGTGGTGATTGTGGAGAGCAGCAAAGTAGATGGCGTTCCTGAAAGGAAGAAGTTTGGCAGGATGAAGCTCCTGCAGTTCTCTGAGAATCACCGACCGGCATATTGGGGAACGTGGAATAAGAAGACAATGGTCATTCGGCCAAGGGACCCCTGGGCCCAAGATAGGGTGAGCGTGCGGGCAGAAGGGCCGGTGGTGTAGGCGCGCCTGTCTTTCCGCGTTTCCTCTTCGGTTTGCCTGTGTTTACCCTGGTCTCTTGGATTCCGTAAGTATTCTAGCTTGTCTGCCCTGCCTTTTCCTCCTAACCCTGAGAGATGACGATGATGCAGTATGTGACTGTTTTCTCAGAAGCTCCTGGACTACGAGGTGGACAGTGATGATGAATGGGAAGAGGAGGAGCCTGGAGAGTCTCTCTCCCACAGTGAAGGGGTGAGCGCAGACCGGAAATGGTCGCAGCTTCCGCCAGAGGACCACAGCAGCCCTGGGCCAGGTCCACTCACATAGCTTCTGTGTCACCTGCAGAGTTGTCTGAAAATGTCAGCCAAGGGTTCACAGCTGGCTTTCCAGCTTCTCTTGGAAAGCCTTATTTGGTGACACCTGCTGGCAGCGGTGGGTTGTAACCAAGGACTGTCACCCCTTCTAGGGTACACCACTTCCTAGTTTGCCCAGGTCCACACCACTCCCTCTTGCCTTACTGGGCGTCTTCGCTGGTTTGTGTTCTGCCTGGTCCTCGCCCCGCTGCAATATAATGGGATTAATTAATGGGATTTCGACTGATCCTCCTGGTGTCCATAGGAACAGCAGAGCCTTAGATAGCTTTTTTTCTTCCTTAGACTTTGACAGATGTACATTTTTAATGCATCATGTATTTTGTTTCCACATATGAGCATACTCTCTTTTTTTCCTGTTTTGAGGAGGATGATGATGAAGTAGGAGATGATGAAGATGAGGATGATGGTTTTTTCGTGCCCCATGGATACCTGTCTGAGGATGAGGGAGTAACTGAGGTGAGCCGATGCACAGGGAAGTGAGTGGCTCGGAGAAGAGCTCATTCGGGGGCTGGAACTTGGTAGCTGCTAACCTGGGGATGGTGCTGATGGTCCCAACCCACCCAGGCCGATCCAACATATATCTTGATCCTCATAGCCATGAAGGCAATCCCCAACGTGTGGTTGTTTGTGGGAATGCTAGACCATGAGCTGAAATTTTACCTGGGAGGAGGGGAGAATTTGCAAAGGTGGGAGAAAATTCCCAGTGAGGGGAGGGCATGAGAAACCAGGTCTGAGAGTGGCTGTGGTTCGTGGGTCACAGTGCCACATTTGTTTTTACATTTGTTTAGCTGAAGTCTAATTAACATACAACAAAACATACAGATTTCACCCCACCCCCATTCCCCGACCTCTGAGTCAAGCTTTTGTTCTCAGTCTAGTTGTGGAGGACGCAGCTCACTGGCCCATGTTGGTATTATGAGCACTGTGCTCTACCCGGCTGAGGCAGTCGGTCGCCAGCTGTTGGCCGGCCGCTCATAGCAGCTCACGATGGCCGCCGGCGACTCATGACAGCCCAGCTCCAGGTCAAGCCGTTGTTCACAATCTTAGCTGTAGAGGGTGCAGCGTCACTGGCCCATGGAATGGAACTAGCAACCTTGTTCAGAGTTCGTGCTCTAACCAACTGAGATATCCGGCTGCCCCCAGATTTTAATTATTCAGTTTGATGAGTTTTAACAGTTGACAACAGTTGTGAAACCACCACCTGAAATAAAATCTATAACTTTTCATCTCTCCAGAAGGTTCCCCCATGTCCCTTTGTGTTTACCCCCACCACCACTACCAACAACAACTTTCTAAATTCTGCCAGACCGTGGAACTTTTTTTTTTAAGATTTTATTGGGGAATTGGGGAGGGGGACCAGCCAAGTTGGTGTCCTTCAATCGTAGTTGTGGAGGGCACAGTTAGCTCAGCTCCAAGTCCAGTTGCCATCCGGCAGCCCGTTGGTAGCTCACGGCCACTCAGCTCAAGGTGCTGTGTTCAATCTTAGTTGCAGGCGGGCATAGCCCACCATCCCATGTGGGAGTCGAACTGGAAACCTTGTTGCTAAGAGCGCATGCTCTAACCACTGAGCCATCTGGCTGCCCATTGGCAGCTCAGGGCAGCTCACTTGCCCATGTGGGAATCAAACCTGCAACCCTGTTGCTCAAGCTCACGCTCTTAACCAACTGAGCCACTCAGCTAGCCCCAGACGGTGAAACTTTTGAGTCAACCATTTTTACGCCTCCAAAATCCTGTTGGTTGCACTGTTTAGGTAGTGGGGAAACAGTGACATGTATGACACACTGGGGGAATGACTTTGTCTCAAAGTCAGACTTGAAGGGCCTATGTTCCTTATACATTTCTGACCAGTGAGGCAGGCTGGTGTTTCGTTGTGCCCTTGAGCATATCTGTATTAGAGAGTTGTCTATCCTCTGGCATTGGAGAGGCCTGGCCCAATGGCTGTGCTGGGCATGTGATTTCAGGTTGATTTGACAGTTCCGGGATCCCATGTTAACCTGAAAATCTAGAGTGGCATTAAGAGGCCTCTTGTACATCTGTGACTTGCCAGTCACAGCCAGACAGGGTAGATGCATCTAAAACACCGATGGTGCTGATTACCATTCAATCTAGAAAAGCTTTCTGTGCGTTTCATCACCTGTAATGTTAGGAAGGGGACGACTAGGACACGGTGGGAGCTATGAAGATTTCCACCCTGGCCCTGACTGAATAACTCTGCCCCTGTGTGCTCTTTCCTTCTCTGTCCCTGAGGCTGGGACTGACAGTTCCTGGGCAAGAGGGGAGTGGGGACCCTGAGTTAGCGTCTGCTCTCTCACCTACAAGGAGTGTGCTGACCCCGAGAACCACAAGGTTCGCCAGAAGCTGAAGGCCAAGGAGTGGGACGAGTTTTTAGCCAAGGGGAAGAGGTTCCGTGTGCTGCAGCCCGTGAAGATCGGCTGCGTCTGGGTGATGGATAAGGACGGCGGCACCGACCTGAAGGTGCTACAGCAGTTCACGGCATGCCTTCTGGAGACGGTCCCCCCCGAAGAGGAGCAGACGCCCAAGACCTCCAAGAAAGAAAAGAGGGACCAGCACAGTGAGTACTGGCCTGGGGCAGGGGCAGAAGGGGTCAGGTGCCCCCTGCTCCGAGGCCCAGGTCAGTCCAGGGCTGAGGGCAGGAGACTTCTTAGGTGAACAGACGAATAATTTACAAGTTCAACAAATCACAAAAGCCAGCGCTCACGGGGCACATCTGTTCCTTCTCAGATATTCACAGCAGCAGTATGGGCAATGGGCAGCTATTTTAATTAGCCCATTTCACCAACAGGGACACAGGCTCATTGTGCCCAGCCCAGGGCCACTCACATCCCTGACTCCTGTGCCTCTTCAAAGCCGGGAGGACCAGAGACTCAGAATGAAAGCACGGTGGCCGTTACTAAGGAAAAACAGGTGCATAGAGTCAGACGTGATAGTTTATCTGAACAAATGGCCTTGTGAGGTTTCAGCTTCACAGAATCTCTCCTGGAGCAATTTCTTGTGTCTTGAATCTGCCCTTCAAAGGTCAGCTGAAACTGACTGTCTCTCGACCTTGGTGACAGGTTCAGGAAACATGTGTAGTGTTGATTTCATTGCGTTTTTCCCTGTGTCTTGACACCCACCGTGTCCCCTCATCTCTCCACCAGTCTTGATCCAGCTGCTCCCACTGCTGCACGGGAATGTGAACGGAAGCAAAGTGATCATCCGGGAGTTCCAGGAGTGCTGCCGCCAAGGGCTGCTCGTCAAGGACACCGGCAGTCCCGAGAGCAGCTCCGTCAGCCCCTCGAGCCCCAGCTCTTCCCGCCCGCAGACCCCCACCGTTGGCGAGGACACTGCCGTCCCCTCTAAGGCCAGGCTCAAGCGAATCATTTCTGAGAACTCAGTGTATGAGAAGAGGCCTGATTTCAGGATGTGCTGGTATGTCCACCCACACGTGCTGAAGAGCTTTGACCAAGAGCACCTGCCCGTGCCGTGCCAGTGGAGTTATGTCACCATGGTGCCCTCGGCCACCAGGGAGGACAGTGGCAGCCTCCCCGCTGCGGGGCCCGGCCAGGGGACACCCGTGTCACTCAAGAGGAAGTCAGCGGGCAGCATGTGCATCACCCAGTACATGAAAAAGCGCAGGCACGATGGGCAGGTGAGCAGCGGGGCTGAGGGCGCCCATGGTGGCTTTTGAGTTTTAACTGAGGTCACAAAGTTGTCCAGAATTGAGGGGAAGGCACAGAGATTTCCCACATTGCCCCCTGCCCCCAACATACAGTCATGCACAGCCTCCCACCAGCAACATCCCCACAAGCCTGGTGCACTTGTTATATAAGTCGATCCTACATTAACATGTTATCACCCAACATCCATATTTTGATACTAAGGGTCACTGTTGGTGTCATACTCTGTGGATTTGGACAAATGTAAAATGGCACGTACCCACCATCACAGCACCATGTAGAGCATTTTCACTGTCCTAAAAATCCTCTGTGCTCCACTTATTTGTCTCTCTCTCCTCCAGCCCCTGGTACCCATTGATTCTTTTACTGTCACCATAGTTTTGCCTTTTTCAGAATGTCATATTGTTGGAATCACACAGTAGGCTTTTCAGATCAGGTTCTTTGATTTAGTTATATGTATTTAAGTTTCCATGTCTTTTCGTGGCTCAATAGCTCCTCGATTTAGGGTCCTCACTTTAGGCCGATATCTCACAGGTACAGAATTTGATGAAGTATGTTAAGAGCTGGGTCTCCCGCTCATGTCCAGGGCTGTCTTCAGGAAGTGGGTGCTGCTCTGAAAGCTGTGCCCTGAAGGCGGGGTGGTGAGGGAGGATAGTCGGTATACACCCCCACTCCCCATTCCCACACTGCTACCCTGACCTGAGTTACTATACACCTTCAAAAATAAAGTGGTCGTCAGGGTGAGAAGGCAAGGGAAATTGCTCCTGGAATGATGTCCAGCCTTCTTAAACCTTAAACTGTCATAGCAAGAGGGACAGTCAGATGGTCCGATGTCAGCTGTCCCTGTCATCCCCCAGAGCCACTGTCCGTGTGCGCCTGTGTACACAGCTCTGCCTGCCTGTGGATGCAGCGTGGGGTGCCTGCTGGTTGAGGTGACAGGGACCCCAGACCCACAAACCCTTCCCCCCCCCCGGGCCTCAGCCTGAGATGATGGGCTTCATTAGATCCACTTGGTGTTTGAGCCACAGAAACTTTCACAGTTGATCTCATTACCAGTCTTAGAGGGGATCCCCAATTTGAAAATGGCTGGTGCTGGAAGACACCCTTAGTTGTGAACTCACAATGAGCCTTTGCAGGCCTCTGCCCCATGAACCCTCCCTCGGGTCCCCTGTGTGCCCGCTGTGTCATTGGAGTCCCACACGGTCTCCTGTGGGGACAGCTGCATTCCTGAGCTCCCCTTCCATTGTGGTCCTCATTTGTGTCTGTAACCAATGTTTCTACATGGAGAATCGCAATTTTGCCCATTACGTCAGGCACTGTGCCAGGCACTTCATTGGAATCCCTGCATTTCACTGGTGTAAGGAGCTTCGTTTTCTAAGCCTCCCGGAAAGAGAAAATGCTCCAGATTAAACCAGGGTGTTGCTACGCTCCTCGGTGAGGTGGGAGCGGGAGAAAGCATGCACCTGAGAACCCAATGACACGCACGTGGTCTGTGTGGCCTCCATTCCCCATCACAGAAGCACTGCCCAGGGAGGGGCTGAAACCTTCAGAGATTCTGATTGAGTAGATGGGGGGCACAGGGGGACTAAAGCCTGTTATTTCAGAACCCCTTCTCAGGACCCATGGGAAGGGTCCAGGACCACTGCGTGGGGCAGTCATCTTCCCCCCTGCTCCTTGGAGCATGCGACAGCACTGGGACCCTAGGACTGGGTCCAATCAAAGGTAACAGAGCCCCCATGTTGTGGCCTAAATACATGGGGATTTGTCTCCAACAAGAAGTCCTGAGCTCCTGTAACATCCTAGCCCAGCAGCCAGGTCCTCCTATCACCCACTCCCTCCTTCCTTATTGTGTGGCCTGACCAGCAGGTTGAGGGTGGCTAAGCCCTCCCTGGGGAGACAGCCCATTTAGCTGGAAAGGGATGTGCATCCCAGCCAACTCGACTCTCTGTAGCTTTCTGACCAAAACGCTTTGTCACAGCCACCGTGAGCTGCAAGAGAGGCCAGGAAGTAAGATCTGACCACCCCACGCCCGTCCCCGTCCCCCCCAGCAAAATTCCAGTTCTCTCTTGGAGAGGGGGGCACGCACGAGCAGGGCCTGCCACTGAATGGTGCACCTACACAAAGTGAGAGACACGTACAGCTTTCTAGGAGAGGGCTGGTGGGGCATGGGGGCTACTTCCCCCCCAGCATTTTGGTTAAGCTACTAACTGGTTGTACCCTCGGGAATAGTTGTCGCTAAACTATAAACGTGAAAGTTTTAGAGTGGGTTGGGCTTTGTTTGTTTTTGAGAATTTTAAATCTTAAAGTTCAAAATCTTCGAGGTTTACAAGGTGGTATGACCAGTGAGGTGAGGCGCCGGCTCTGCCACCAAGTATCTGTGGCCCCAGGGTGACTCAGATCTTTGGGCCTCAGTTTTATTTTATAATGGGGAGAGGTTCTGTTTCTCCTTTCCAGTCAAATATATTCTGTGATCAACACAAAACTGAAAGAACAACAGGTGATCCACAGCCGTAATTCTTTACAGTTGCCAATGTCTTCATAACTCCTGTGTCTCCATAGTCTCCCTGCACTGACCACATGCAGCAGTGACAGTGGGATGGATAACCGGTTTTCCCACTGCAGCTCAGCACAACAGGATTCCAGTGTTCTAAATTCCTACTGGAATGTTTTATAGCCTGTCCTGTGCCTGAAGAGTTAGGGATGGTGGTTTCTCTACAGGAACCTTGCATTTGCTGTCTGGAGGGCCCAGGGACCAGGGGAAGCTATAAATTGGTCTGTTTCTTTTGCTTAACAGATCCAAACAAACACCTCCAAATCTGTGTAGTTGAGAGTTGGGCTGTCTGCTTTTCTTGGCCAATCAGTTCTTTAGAACAGGTAGTTAGAAATTGTCCTCAGCGTCCTACAGCTTTTGCCCTGGGGACCGTTCCTGTCTGTGATGCTCCAGCCACCAAGGAATCCGGGTGTAGAGCGAGCACACCAGGAACTGATGAGGCCGCAAAGCTGACCCCAGTCTGCCGACCAGGGCAGGAACCCAATGTGCAAACCGGACAGTCTTGCTGCTCTGTTATCCCTTTTTCCAGGCAAACAGATTTTTGTAGCAGAGTAACTTCAAAGTGTCTTGAGAGGTAGCCTACCTGTTGAAATAAGTCTGTCCCTGCCTCCTCTGCCGGTTCCCTTTGTTCATTTACAGAGTAAGCGCCCGTATGGATGGCTGATGTTTAAAATCGGTTCTGCTACATTCCAAGTCCTCTTTCTGGTCCCCTCTGCTGAATGCCAGTGAAAATGGCCCAGGAGTCTTTTTGGAAATTCTATCCCCAGCAGAGGCTTTCCTGCCCCGCCCCCTCCTGACCTCTGTCCGGTTGCCTGGATGGTATCCTCACTGGCAAAACTGGTCTAAGCAGAAATTGAGAGTTGCCGAGTCAAGTGTCAGAGGAGACAGAGAAAGCACTGACTAAGCTCTCAGCCATTTATTTCAAATAATAAATTCAGAGAAAGTACATCCGTCATCAATTTCTCTTTCAAACCAAACCAGAAACCCAGAATTCTTTCTCATTGAAAAAACTTTTCACAAATTGTTTTTGTAATAAAATAAATATGATGGTAGTTTACAGAGGTCTGAATTTAATTAGTTCATTGGCGAGAACTCCCCAAGGTTTCCTGTGGTCATCGGCTGTCAAACAGACTCCGGTTTGCTGCTGAAACTGGTAGAGGTCAGGAGTGTGGGTGCATGTGGCGGGAATGGTCACATACTGCCCCCACCCCCCGCAGTGCCCATGCTGAAAGCCTGTGCCCCTTGTCTGTTCAGATCACAACTGGGGACCTGGATGGCTTCCAGGCAGACACGGAGGAGGAGGAGGAAGAGGATGGCGACTGTGTGATAATGGACATCTCAGATGTTACGGGTGAGACTGGCCCCAGACCCTCCTTTCCTCCTGCTCACTGGCAGGGGGAAGGGCGCACCCTCTTCCCGCTCATCCATCCTCTTTTGTATACAATGGGTGTTGGGTTAAAAGACCTCAAAAGACAGTGGGTGGGCTGGCCTAATGGGGGTGGGCAGTTGGTTCCAGTCCAGGCCCTGGAGGATCTGACTTAGTCTGAAACCTACATTCAGGAAACCAAAGAACTGAAGGTTGGTTCCTACCGAGGTGGAGGGTAGACCATAGGTATCGGGGAGAAAGAGTCTGGGGTGGGCGGGGTCCTGGCACCAATGAGGGGGCAGCCTCTGAACCGCGCTTCTCCAGGGGAAAGGAGGGCCGCAGCAATGCTGGGCTCAGGGAGCTCGAGGTCCGGCCATCCTTGATGCAGCCACTTGGCCTCAGTGCCCGTTTCCTCTACTTTGCCACGGAGCTTCCTCCCTCTCTGGAGGGTTAGTGAGGGAGGCTGAGATTTGCCTCTTCCGCTCAGTGAGCTGAGGAGGGGACAGGGTCCGAGGGCCACGAGGAAGTACCTCTGTCTAGAAAGGGGATGGGTCTGGGGGCTACATCCATGCCCCTCTAACCAGTCAGATTGGGGCTCCCGCTCCAAGAAGGCTCCCAGAAGTGTTTCAGGCCCGGTGACAATGGGTGCAGCTGGCTAGAGCCCCTCCCTCTCACCTTGCAGAGGTCCAGGACACGTGTGAAACCACTTCCGGAGCTGGGGGTCCTGTGGGAATGGACACCAGCGAGAGCCCCGCGCCCTCCAGCTCGCTCAGCACCTCCTAAGAGCCCCACTGGCTGGTGTGTGTATGTAGAATGGTTAGGGTTTTCTCAGATGCTTCCCAGATACTTGAAAGTCCTACGATTCCTATGTAAAGAGCACTTTGTCCTGCTTGGCATACCCACCCCCACAAGGGTTGGAAAGTATATAGGATGCTTGATTCATTCATTTTGCTATTTGTAAAAATTTTCTTCCAAAAGCTGCATATTAATCTGCCTTTTAATAAAGCATTATCGTGATGAGTTGGCCTGTACAGGGAAGCTGGGGTGTTTCGTACGGACTCTGAGCAGGTGCTGTGATGAAATGCTTATAAATGAATTTGGAGCCCTGCCCTGCTGTGTGGCGTGGTGCCGGGACCTGACCTAGATGTGTATAAACTTATTGTCTAGCCCTGACGTGGTGTGTGTGTCATCTTTTTACATAATTTCTGTGAGCAGGTGTGCCTTCACCTGTGGCCCTACCCGGTGCCCTGTGCTATGCTGTCAAGTGTCCACACCTCGTACCCCACGCGTGGTACTGTGGTGTCTGTATCAAGTGTTCCACTTTGTAAAAGCACTGTCCCATCTCTTAAGTCCTTGACCTCCCGGATGACCTAGTTCAGGGTGAGGCTTCTTGGCAGGTGCACATGTTGCAGTCCCTCCTGCTCATTGGGAGGTGAGCAGGGTGTATTCTGGGCCTCCGGGACCTGAATGTTGGCTTCCAGATGGACTCCTGGGTCAGGCCATACCTCAGGGGTGTGGAGCCAGCTGTAGATGCCAGAGCCCTGGTCCCGAGGCCCTGGAGTTGCCCCACATCGGGGCAGTGAGAGCCCCCGAGGTGTCTGAGCACATGTTGAAGGCCTCCGTGAGCTGAGGTTTTGGCAGAGTTCATGGACTCCATACAACCTGGACTTCCATCTTGCTGACCCCTCAGGTTGAAGTGTTTCTGTTGCTGTTGCCCCACAGGAGACCAGCAGGCATGTCAGTGTGCAGAACAGCTTACATCAGCTGGATACAGCCAGCCAGGGAGACCCGACCCCATTGCCATGTGGTGGCCAAGACCACCAGGCTTGCCGCTCCCACCAACACCGATTCTCCTTCAGGGGCCCCGTATGGGTGGGGTGACAAGTTGCAGGGTGAGGGCACAAGCCCCGGCCGAGACCTGCTGGAGGTGGGTACAGCTGTCTGAAGACGGTGTGTGTACCCAGGACAAGCATGTGTGTTACTCCTGTGGACATAACTACCTGTACCAGTCAAGTCCCCTTAAGCACGTTTTAGTTAGGCATCTGACAACCAGCAGTTGCAGTCAGTGAGGGGATGGGCCAAGGCTGTGCTGGACTCCCGACATATGGCAGTTATGTGGGGATCCTCCCCACACACCCCCCATGTTGAGGACAGCTACTGGTGGCCCAGGTGTGAGCCAAGGGCATGCATGGGGACAACTTGCTGGCTGGGGGTAACAAGGGATTTTTACTTTTAAAACCACATTTGGGGCCTTGAAGCTTCAAGTCTGTCACCCAGCTGGCAGTAGCCACAGGATCAGCCACCAGGTCTCCACGCGGGCGAGGATCTAGAAGGAACTGGAGCCAAGCGTCCACCTAGGAATGAAGGTGGGGGCTGGGGGGGAACAATGATCCAGGTAAATGGCTGAGGCCCCAGGTGTGGGCATCTCCCAGCCAGGTGTGACCAGGGGTGAGTGCCTTTGATGCTCCAGGCCTTCGTTTCCTGTAGTTCCCCGTGAATGCTATACCATCACGAACAGTGGCTTCAAACAACACCAACTTGTTATAGTTCTGGGTGTCAGATCTGACATGGGCCTCACTGCATTAAAATCCAGATGTGGGCAAGGCTGGTTCCTTCTGGAAGCTACAGGGGAGTCCATTTCCGTGCCTTTTCCAGCATCTAGAGGCCACTGCATTCCTTGGCTCATGGCCCCTTCCTCCATCTTTAAAACCTGCAGCGAAGCATCTTTCCATCTCTTCTGCCTCCTCCTTCCACAAGAACCCATGATGACACTGGACCCATCTGGAAAACCCAGGACAATCTCCCATTTCAGGATCCTTAATCACACGCAAAGTCTGTTTTGTCACATAAAGTAACATTCACAGGTTCCAGAGATAAAGACATGGACATCTGTGGGAACTTGTTCTGTAGGGCCTGAGGCACTGGCCCCCAGCCTCAGGTCCCTGGGGCTCCCTCCCTCAGCAGGGTGGGCTTGTCCACTGGGCGACTGCAGCTGCTGACCTGCTTTCCACCGCATGGCTGGAATTCATCACAGGAGACTAGTCAAACAGCCTGTTTGAGTTCAGTATTTGGTATTTAGAGTTTTGTCTCCCTTATGCTACTATTACCAGCAACCCCACAGGGAAGCCTCGGGGCCAGCTGTGATGCGTGGGCCCGTGCTGCAGGACCGCTGTCCTGCCCAGGGCGGTGCCCATCCATAGTGCTTGGGGTTCCATTAAACAGGTTAACAGCAGCAGAACACTTAGACCCAGTGCTACCAAGGCGAGCACAGCAGCTGTTCCCTGAAAGCCCTCTGGGTGGCAGTTACAGGCCAACCAGTGGCCCTCTCCTGCCCATGGCACTCGGGCTGTGCAAACGGTCCCAGAGGCGGCTGGTAGGCCCTGGAGTGGAGGAGGAATCAGGCAAGAGCAGAGGTGGAGAAAGCAGGAGTGCATAAGACAGACCCACAGGGGCTGAAGCCAACCCTGCTTTTATTTCACGAGAGCTTCTCGATGGCGGACAGGAGCTCGGGTTTCAGGATAGATGAGTCCAGTTCAGCTCCTGCAGCCCTGATGTCCTCGAGCACTGCTGCATCCCACGAGAAGGTCAGGAGGGCAGAGGGCACCTGTGGTGGGCAAGAAGCCTCAGCCTCATTCTGGCCTTCATGTGACAGAGCTCACGTCTTCTCATTCAAATCCTCACATTGTAGCCAAGCCACACTCACTCAGGGCTGTTCCCCGCTGGCACAACCACACAGCCCATTCCCGAAGCAGGGTTCCCCCGCCCATGGATGACCTGGGCTCGAGGATGCCCCCTGGCCTGGCTGAGGTTGTTCCAGCACTGGGCAGCCATCAAAACCTCCTGCCTAGGCCACCTTCCTTCCTAATCTCCTTGCATCAGGGTCTGGCTGCCCTCCAGCCCCTCCCACTTCCTCCCCAGTAAATCCCCACATTTCTAATCCCATCTGGGTTCTGCTCCTCAGAGGACTCGAACTAACACACTCGCCACCTTCCTTCCCATTTTATAGGTAGGAAACTGAAGCACAAAGAAGTCTCTCATGGCCACACTGCGAGTAAGTAGAGAAGTAGGACTGAAACCCAGGGAGCCCGGCCCCTGGACCCTGCTCCTGGCACCACCCCATACTGAAGAGCGCCGCCCTAGTGGGAATCCAGCATGTCAGGAGCTTGTCACTCACCAGCCCACACTCGTTGAAAGCCAGGTTCTCGTCTTCTGACAACTTCTGTCCCCCAGAGGCCAGCAGCTCGAAGGGCAGCCAGTCACTCTGCAAAGCCTCCCGGACAAACATGTACAGTGCGGCCACCCGCTCTCGGGCATAAAAGGTCCCTGGTGGGGCAGGACAGTCAGAAAGGGGCTGGAGGTCATGGGAACCCCCCAGGGCCCTCCTCCAGAGGGGCCTTCGGCTCCTGCCAGGGGCACAGCAAACCCGCAGCTAGCTATCAGAGCACACTGAGCTGGGCCGCGCACAGACACCACCTCCCAGGCCTCGCCTGGCCCGCCCACACAGCCCTGGCTGTGACCCGTGGGCAGCACGCACCCTGGAGGAGGCAGCCATCGGGGAGGCGGACACGCAGCAGCGTGTAGGTGTACTTGCGCAGCTCTCTCTGCTCCTCCTTCTCCCGCATGGCCTTGGTCCGCAGCACGCTCAGCCGCTCCACCGCCTCAGACCTCAGCCTCTGCTCCCGCTTGATCTCCTCGGCCGTGAGGTTGAAGAAGTCCGCAGGCAGATCGAACTGGGAGGCCAGGGGCGAGGGCCGGAAGACACGGCGCTGGCGGGCCAGTGTGGCTCGCACCGGCTCGGCGCACAGCAGCTGCTCCTTGTGCCTCTCCAGGCTCTGAGGCTGGGCCAGGGCGGCCTCGCTCAGCACATAGAACTCTTCGGGACCTTCTGGGGTGCAGGGATATCATTTGCTGCGGCAGGAAGACCCCAGAGCCAGGCCCCTCCTACCCCACCTCCTGGCTCAGCCAAGGCCCTTCTCTACTCAACTTACCCTGATCTGGAACCGGTAACAATGCCTTCTGGAAGCCAATGGCCTCAAAAAACTCGTGGGTCCCTTCCAGACAGTTAACACGCTCCTGGGGGCAGAGCTGGAGGTCAAGCAGGGCCCTTGGACCTTCTCAGGTCCCAGCAGCCTTGCTGCCCATGCTGCCCCACCCAGGCCAGCATCTCCCTTTTTCGGAGCGGCTGCTACCCCTCGATGGGACAAATCCCTCTGAAGCTGCCTGAGAACTGTGGGGTCTCCAGCAGCTGCTCACAGAGGGCCAACAACCAGGGCAAAGAAGGAGCTCAAGTGCCAAAGGACATCATGGGGCAGTCCCAAAAGTGGAGGGGGTATTGCTGTGATGCTGAGGGGTGCAGCAGTGGGTGCCCTGACAGCAGCACAGGTAATGGGCCAGGGTGGCAGGACCCTGCAATTTCTCCACAGAAGCCAAAAAAATCTGCATTTGTGTAAGATATCACCCCAGGGCTGATATGTTCCCAACTAATTCGAATTAAAGAAAAGTCAAAACACGCCAGGGGTGGTTGGGAGAGCAGATTAAATACAGGTATCACGTGTGATCTCTGTTCATAAAGCCCTCTCTCCACCTGCCCACCTCAACCCGTGGAGGGGGCCCTCCCACTGGCACCACTGCCAGACTGGGCCCTGTGACTGAGGAGGCCCAGCCACACTGGCAACTGTCACCCGGGCTGTCACTCGACACAGCCTCACCTGGAACACCTTGTTCTGCAGCTTGATCTTCTGGTACTTCTCCTCCTCAGGATGCAGGTGGATGTTGTCCAGGTACCTAGAGAAGAATGGGGGGACAGGGACAGGCACAGGTTGGCTGCCTGGCTTTTTGTATCTCCCACCCCCAGGCGGATAGCAGATGAGAGCTACGCCCAGCCTTGTGGTAAGAGTGAGACCGGGAGCTGCAAGCATACCTCAGACACCCCATCGAGCCCGACCCCTCGTGCCAACAGCCTGGGCCACTGCCCACCACGGGCCTGTAGCTATGCCTGCTCCTGGGCCCTGCCTCCCCTGGAGGGCACTGACGAACCACAGTATCAGGGTAGAGTTGACAGAGCCAGATTAACGGGCCACCTGGGCCAACGGGTCATCAGTGTGTTTGGGAGCTTGGGAGGAAAACAGACTTTTAGCACCCCCAGACCTGCTCACTCGCAGGAGTGGGGTGGGACCCTGCCTCCTTCACATTCCTCTGATGATTCCAAAGGGAAGCCAGGGTTGGGAACCCCCCGCTCAGTAACCCCTTTGTTTTACAGACAGGTAAACGGAGGTTAGAGAAGCCAAGCTCCCTCCCCACAGGCTAAGGGGGAGTGAAGGGTGGGGCCTGGTCTCACTCCCAGGACCAGGCCCCTTCTGGGCCCCCTCAGCAGCATGTCACACTGGAGGCCCAAGGGGCTGGCACCCCTGGTGGGGAAGCAGGTGCCTACTCACCTGGCAATGGTGTCTACGCCCAGCTTCACCCTGTCCCGTTCTTTGTTGAATGTGTGGATCTTCATGATGGAGGCAGCTACCGGATCAGTGGAGAAATGCTGCAAGAAAGGAAGAAAGCATGTTCAACATGTGACTGAGACCTCACAGCCTGGAGGTCTCACTACTTGGGCAGCAGCAGTAATAACAGTAATAATACTAATAACGGTTTCACAGCGGGCCAACCAGTAGCTTTTAACTGAAGCAAACTCACATGTACATGCTCAGCAGAAAAAGAGGACAAAAGCCCTTTCGATGACGCCATCCTGGGCCTCAGCCCTGCCCTCACCTCTAAGGAAGAAGGGGTGTCAGCAGCCCAGATTATGCAATAGAATTAAGGCTGCTGACCAGCAGACCTTAAAGGGGACAGTAGCCTGCACGATCCAGGTGGGCCCAGGGTAACCATAAGGGCCCAGCAGGAGAAAGCCGGAGATGGCAGCTGGAGAAAGACTTGGCCACCACCACTGGCTATGAAGAGGCAGGAAGGAGCAACAGGAGAGGTGGTCTGGAAGCTGGGAAAGGAAAGGAAATGGACTCTCCCAGAAGGAACACAGCCCTGCTGCCAGTGAGAGCAGACTAAATACAGGTATCACGTATGACTCTGACTCTGACTTTCAGAGCTGTAAGAAACTAGACGTGTGTTTGAAGCCCCTAAGTTTACCGTGATCTATTGTGACAGAAATGGGAAACTCAGGGCAAAAATATGTGGGTGTTCTTTTTGCTCTTCTTGCAATTTTTAAGTTTGAAATTATTTCCAAACACAGGGCTTTAAGGAAAAGAAATAACATTGGAGTTGTTTTTACACTGGTTTAATAGCTGGCAGTTTCTATGTTGAGCATGAGTGCTACATTAGCTTTTATATAAAACAAAAACCAAACAAATGAGGGGGAGATCTAAGTGCATCAGTACACATACAGAATGTCACTGAAAAGGGACCTCAACTACCCTCAGAGGCTGGGTGGTGGAAAGGTGGGCAGGAGGCGGCTTTTCTCTGCCTACCCTTCTGTGATTGAATTCTGTACGATGCTTAAGCAGTACCTCTTTGATGAAGTGAAAACGGACACAATGTACGCAGGTGGGGACATTAGGAGTGATCTGTGCCACCAGGGCTTACTGAAAACCTCTAGGTGGGGGATGGGGGCATGGGGCCACCACTCACAGAGAGAATGGCCTCTTTGATGTGGGTCTCCCGTTGGTCCTTCCTCAGGATGGCCCCTGTGAGGGGGCAGGTGAAGTACACTCCAGGCACCACCAGGTGGATTGAACCTTCCTCTTTGGTCTCAGGCACCTGGGGGGATGGGGATGAAAGTGCCAGAGCCTGGATTGTGGACAGAGGCTACCCCAAGCCACTGAGTGCCACAGCCCAGAAAGCATGGCCATGGGAGCCAGACATCCCTGGTCCCAACGCTGTCCCCTCTGCCACGGGACACCTTGGCTCAGTGACCGAGCCTTTTCGAGGCTGTTTTCTGGTCTGTGAAATGTCTCTGCAGGACCAAGTCAGAATTCAGTGTAGCAACTTCAGACACAGTGTTCAATCAATGGTTCCTGCTGTTCCTGTCCCCCATACCTGGTGGCGAAGGGGCTTTGTGTATCGGGGGGAATCAATAGTCATGGTTCCCTGGATAAGTCCTGGCCTCAATTCCTAGGTAATCTCTAGGGTCTCCTCCACTCTAAAATCCAGTGAGAACTTCAGGGTCAAACTGCTTGGAATACCCTTTCTGCAGAGCTGTTCTTGAAGGCCCACCTCCTCCAGGAAGGCCTCCAATTACACTGGTCTCTGCAGAACCCTCCTACCTCCCAAGAAGGCTGCAGAGGGCAGTGCTATGAGTCCCACAGACTGGGGCTCCCATTCTGCCTCTGCTAGATTTGCGGTGTATAACCAAGTTCAGCTGGCTTCACCTCCCTGAACCTGTGTTGTATTCTGAGAAGTAGGAACTGTAACAGCACCTACCCTCATGAGGTTATGGAGTTGGGGGGAGGGATGAGTTAATGGGGTCCACTTCTACTCTCAGCACCTAGGCCTGGCATCACCAGGTGCTGAGCATGGAGGTCCAGTTAACACCACACTCATACAACCCGCCTTCACCTTTCAAAGCAGGGTTCCCCGTGGCCAGGGGTGACCTCTATCCACCCTGACCTCTCTTCTGTGTCCCCCCAGCCCCCAGCACCAGGTGCTTACAGCCCAGGGCTGGGCACTGGTGTTGATGAGGAAATGGCCAATGAGACAAATGTAGGCGAAAACCTGCGGGGAAGTCCCAGCTCCCCTGCCCCAGGCCTCCCCTTGGGGTGTCATGCTGTGATGTGGATGCTTTTACCATGTTGGTCCCTGGGGCGTCTGGGCTCCCAATGACAGTCGCCTCAGCTAGAAGTTCCTTTCTCACTGGAGGGAGAAGCAGAGATGCGTCAGTGTATAGGCCTGCCCTGTCCCCAGGGCTAGCCTTGCCCAGAGCCCCCTCATCTTCCTACTATGAGAGGCACACCCCTCCCTGGGGCCGGCCCTTGAGTAAGTTCTAGTCTTTCCTCTAGTCTGAGGTCCTCGCCGACCCTTCTTCCTGTCAATACCACTCCATACACCCAGGCTTCACCTGACCACCTGATGACCTTCGACCTTCTCCTCCTCTCCCTCTTCTCCACCTTCCCTTCATCCTCCTCACACTCTGTGACATTTGTGCCACCCAGACCACATATCAGACCCGTGTCCCTTTTCACCTTGCATTTCTCCACTCTCAAAATTGTGATTTTAAAGTCCTCCAAAATTGTTGGCTATGTACTTATTTTCATCCAGGGCCAAGCACAGGATCTGAGACCCGTGAACAGCCGTGGACTGGCCTCGAGGACAGAGGGCCAGAGGCCTCACTCTACCCCGCTCAGGCCTGCCCCTACTGTGGCCTGAGGAAGAGCGCAGCTCACCCTGGTTCCGGATGGAGTCCTGTGACATGGGGCCCCGGGCCCTGGGCTGCTTCTGCTCGAGCCGCGCCAGGGCTGCTGCCGCTGCCATCTGCGCCTCATCGGTGGGTCCCTGGCGGGAGTGCCGGAACACCGGCTGGTTGGGCTTTTCCTTGGGGGCCTTCTCCCTGGGGAGAAGACAGTGAGGTGACACAGGATCAGACAAAAGGGCTGCCTTCTCCCCCTTCTATTCCAGCCCCATCAAACAGTACATCCCTCTTTGCCAAGGGCCACCCACAGCCACCAAAAGGTTCTAACACAGAAGAGCCCCTAGAGGCAAATGGTGGTTCCCTCCCAGCTCTGACCCTTTGGGCAACTCCTGCACCAGCCTGGGCCTCAGAGGCATCATCTGTTAAATGGGGGTAAACTGCACCCACCCCTGCCCTAATGTTTTCAGGTACTGATGAGACTTAAGAAGTATCATTCCTCTCCTCACTCCCTCCAGAGTAAGAATCTCGACCCTTACTGTCTACATCAGCGACTGTTGCCATTTAAGCACCTATTGTGTGCCAGGCAGCACACAATGTTTATTCCTCATTCCAACACCCCTTCTGAGGGAGGTCTTAATATCCCCTTTCACAAGTCCTAGAGGATCACCAAAGCTCAGAAAGCTGCAAGCCCTGGGTTAAGCATGTTATAAAGATGTTAAACCATGTTATAAGCATGGTTCAATCTCACCTCCACCCTGGGAAATAAGCATTGTGATGAAGTAGGGGATGGATGGCTTCTGAATCTACTTAGCAGGAAAATAAGCTGGCTTTGAATGTCCCAGCAGAGAAGTCCTTCCTCCTTCCCTGGTCTGGCTCACCTGCCTCACCACCTTCTTCCCTCAGGATCCTCTCCTGACCCCAGTGGTTGGGATCATCTGTACTAAGTCTGTAAAACCTTCTCAGGAGCCAAGGCTCTCAGTTCATGGCCTCACTCTTTCCACTCCACTCAGACATGCAGGCAGCCCTCTCTTCTTTTTTTAAAGAATTTTATTGGGGAATTGGGGGA